CTATAATATTGAGCAGTTTTAGGGCTAGGCGATATCACGAAATAGCCTATGTTGCTGATGATACACTGTTTGAGATTTAGCCTAGATACTATTGTATTTATTAATTTACCCTGGAGATAAAGTCAGTGCCACTTTTAGTGAGCAATGATCATGACGGCATGAAATTACTGGCATAGAAGGAGAGATAATTTCTATAGGCTGATTTAGGCTAGACAATATTTTTCCGCATTTCATGCAGGGCTCCGGAATTTTACATCATTCGTAAATGCTTCTTCGTTTTTCCATTAGGATCAGTGAATAAACACAAACTCGGGATTTTACACAAATGATGATAACTGTATTTCAGTAAAACATTGTATAAATCCAAAAGTGTGTTTTATTTTATTTTAAAGCAAAACCACGGTGACAAATAAGACAATGATAGGCTACCAAATAGCATACAAGCCATTGGGGTTTGTGCGTAGGCTACAAAAGGAATAAAAACCGTGCACTGCTGAAATGTGGAAAAAAATATATATATTTATTTACTAAAACAGATTTATTATGTCGATCTAGGCTATAGCAAATATTATTATTTATGTGCTCAAGAGCGTATTTAAGCAATATGCCTACATGTTCATATCACTTCTCTGCTGGGTATTTTATTTATTTTATTATAGGCCTTATAATTGCACAGATTTACAGCAGTGTTTTTTTTTATGGTTATGCAGCTAGCCTATATGTGAGTGTTAATATTTAAAACCATTTTTATCCCGTAGCCTATACTACGCAGATTAAAACATGGACACGTAATGCGGGGGTGGATAAATAAATTATAGGATTTTTATAATGTCGCAGTCACAGATAGTTGTAGCTAGCCTACATGTTAACCAGTTGACACTTATTAGAAAACATGAATCTTTTAAAACTATAACATAGGGCTTTACAGAACCATATATAGGCCCTCATTTTATTAACAGGTAAACAACAACGAAACATGAGTTTGCCATTAAACATTTTATTTTGCACTTTGTAGCCTACCAAATAATGCACGTTACATCGTTACACAATAATGCAAATAACATCTCGTTAAAAAATGAAACAAAAACGGTCGTGCTTTAAAAATTAAAATCAGCTGCTATTAGGCTACATTCTTACAGTGAATTATCATCCTTTGCGTAAAATCCCGAGTTTGTGCTGATCCACCGATCCTGATAGAAGTATAAAGAAGCCAAGTGAATGACGCGCTATAATGTAAAACATCTCACTGAAGTAGGCCTACAGGTGCTGTGTCACCAAGCGTTCGTTTTTAAACAATAACTTAATCTATTCTGTGTCTTAAGTACAATAAAACAGCAATAGATCTTAACTAAAATTACCATGGTAAACCGATAAGATAGCCATACGATTAAAGTATTTAATAGTTCTTTAATACGGCCAAATCATTCATAAAATCGTACTTAAAGGAATGCGCATACTCAGACCTGAATCGTCTACACCAATAAGATTGCGGTTAGGGGTGGGCGATATCTCGATATTTAAAATATATCGAGATATTTTTTAAACACGATATGGATTTTGACATATCGTATATCGATATATTGTTTATATTTAATCCTGACTTTGCCACTTTGCTAGTTTGCCTTCTCTGTGCTGTGCTCGCCCCTGCCTCCTTGCTTTTGTTCCCCCTCACCTCGCGTGTTGTCTCATTCAACAATTGTCTCATCCGCAACCAGCCCGGAGGCTACAGAACTCCGAGTGTGTCTGCGCGCGAGCGACAGAGCACGAGAGAAACCGAGTGTGAGCATTAATTGCATTAGTAAATTGGTAGCCTACATACTACAATATATAATTACTATATAAGAGGCATGGAAGTTCGATTAATGGACTCCAGTAATCAGAAGGCTACTACAAACGTCTTGTTTTAAACTATTGCAGGGCTCGAATTTCGGCGCGGGTATTGCGCATAATTCTAATCTTTCCCGCAGGTCTCCCATTTATAATGCGGGAAATTCCCGCAATCGTAATCCACACAGATTATAAAATCAAATCATTCTTTTAACAACTATCTGCCAGACGCAATTTCACAAACAGCGTGAGTGTTCAGCGGTGCCGCTTCTTTCTCGTCTCTCATAATGTGTTGTGCAAGGCATCAAGCGCTGCGGCGATAAAACACACTCGCGTTTAGGAGTCGGGACATGATGGATATTCACTCGCACAATCGGGCCAGCAGTGCATCGTGACTGAAGTTTACCATTTGCACGTCTTTTTAAGTCTTACCAGTTTAAACATTCAAGCGATTTTAAACTAATCAGTGCTCGCGCGCTCTCTGAGAGATTATTTTCTATGCGCACATTCATAGAAAATCCGCCTTAAGAACAGCTGGCCAGTAACAAAAGTTATTTTTCGCGGATTATATTGCTTTAACAAGCAAAATTGTCAATTTCGGTCGTCGTGAGTATACTCTAAACATAGTCGGTTTTGTCTTTAATAAGCATAAAACGCATGCCAGTATAATGAACACAGGATCCGTGCACTAGCTCTTAAAGTGACGGCAGCCATATGTGTGTCATTCATTTTGTTGTCAATACAACAAAAGATAGCTTTAAGTTAAAGGAATCAGGATTAATAACCTATGTATTTAATTTATTCAGGACTAAAATACTACTCAGTGTTATTTTCCATTTGATTTCTTTATTCAGTTTCTGTATATGAATCACGTGATTAATAATGATGACGAAATTCAGGCCCTGTGTTTAATTTTTCTCATTTGGTTACATTCTGTTATGGAAAATTAATTTTCTATTGATTGTAGGCCTATATTTTGAGTTGTATTCACATCCATTTTCCTGTAAAGATATCGAGATATATATCGAATATCGAGATATAGCAAAATATATCGAGATATATTTTTTGCTCCATATCGCCCAGCCCTAATTGCGGTATTATAAACCAATAAAATTGGGGGTGGGCGGAGCGACACGTGTCGCCCTGCCCAAAAGTGTCGCCCCGCCCCATCGTCCAGACTGCACTCTGGGGTACTACAAATGTGCAGCCGCCGCGCTGGACTACTGCGGCAGAACTGTAGGAGGCTGGTATACTGCTGTTCCCTTTCAAGGCGGTCACTTCGACATTACGTCATACTGACGTATATGGGAACTCCTCCCTTCTCCATTTTCACTGAAATCTTATAGGTTAACGCCAGCTGGCCAATTGACGCAAAACATGCAAATGCTGACCGGTCCGCGGGCAGTATAAATAGCATGGGCGCGACAATTACGTCAGAATCAAGACTGAACGCTAGCACAGCTGATCAAACGGCGAGCACGGCGATTGACGTAATGTCTCGTTCCCGCCTCTCAGGGAACCGAGGTTACGATAGTAACCGGAGACGTTTTCCCACGCTCGTCTGCGCCGGTTTCAGAAATAATACTTTTCTGCTCGTCCGGCACTTTGCAACAACACAGCATTGTTTCGGCAGTGACTTTCAGCATGTTTCCTATAAATGACGTTTGCATTTTAAGACATACCACGCGAAATCCGATCGTTCAGACTGAGGCTGATGTCCTGATATGTGATTTGAATAGGATTTCAAACCACATATGGATGTAACTTGAAACGGATTTCATGTGCTTTTTTGGACTGATAATCTGAACGTATCCTATGTCGGGATAATAAATAGATGGAAGAATTGCAGTAATGTTACGTGCTAGAGAAGCTAAATCGTTCGGATCTTTACCACATATTAACTTTAGTTTGTCTAAATGTTGCGCTCTCTCCTGCTTCCCAAGTCCTTCTCTATTTGATTTCGCACCTACCACGTGTTTTTTCCGTGGTTTATTAGTGTAACAATGTGTTCAGTAGTACATAAACAGTGCAATCCATGCTGTTGTTTACATCAGAGTGCCTCCATAATGGCCGCGCATCCGGGTTATCGTCCAGTTGGTGAAACTCCACAGTTTGTGAGGAGGTATGTTCACCTGTCAGCACATCATCTTTACAGTAACACTCAACTTATACATTCTGGGAAGTCTCAGTGACCTGATGGAATTTGCTTTTACAGAAGCTAGCAACAGTATCACTACGAATCCAGCAGATTGAGACCACACTAAGCATTTTGGAAGCAAAGGTAAGTCAAGGCAATTAAGGGGGTTTTCATGGGCGGTGAAAATGTTTTTTTTAAAGTGTTTAATAAATAACTTTATTAAAACAATAATTAAAAATAAGATTAAGATTGAAATTAATAAAAATAAATACACGAACATTACATTTAAACAAACAAATAGATACATTTTTTTTATTTTAAATAATTAATACAAATTAAATGTAAGATTACAAATAAAATAACAGATTCCTATTTTAATATATTTTAAAATGTAATTTATTCCTGTTATGCAAAGCTGAATTTTCAGCATCATAACTCCAGTCTTCAGTGTCACATGATCCTTCAGAAATCATTCTAATATGATGATTTGGTGCTCAAGAAACATTTCGTATTGTCAATGTTGAAAATAGTTGTGCTGCTTAATATTTTTGTGGAAACTGAAATAAAAAAATTCAGGATTCTTTGATCAATTTCTTTACTGTCACCTTTGATTCATTTAATGCGTCCAGCAACATCAACATGGCAGGAAGAGACAATCGGACGGGGACAGACCCAAACAGCCCAGAAAACCCCGTGAGTCCATTCACTTCTCAGAGGTGGTCTAATGGATCAAACTGAACTGTTTTTATTACCTCATTTAGAAACACTCAGCAGAACTTATTTCAATTCTTTTTAGAGTTGATTTTGGGGAGGATTTGAATTTATTTTTGCTTGCTGCTCTTGACACAGACCTTGATTTCTGCTTTTATAACAGCACAGCCCACTGGACCCTGTTGGTTCTGCTTTGCCAATCCAGAAATCGAGAAGCACTTGGTCATAAGCAACGGAATCGGAACACACGTCAGTCCACAAAATATGTACTTAGCAGCCCAGTGTCACTTTAGAAAGCTTTTAAACATAAAGATATGACTATAGACTTCTCTCCTGTTGCTTTTTCATGTTGATCTAATGTCAGTATTCTATTTCCAGTGTTACGTGGCTCTCGCTAAGGGTGGTCTCACTCCTGACCATGTTCTTCTGCTGCCCATCAAACATTACCAGTCAGTGGTGGATTTGGCATCAGAGGTGGTTGAAGAGATGGAGAAATACAAGAGCGCTGTCAAGAAGTTCTGTAAAAGCAGAGGCCAACGGTGCGTCTTGTTTGAGAGGAACTACCGCAGCCAGCACCTTCAACTACAGGTCCATACAAAATAGTGTCATTCATAATGAGATTGTGGTGTCTGCCTGAACAGACTGACCTGCACAGATCCCAGGTCAGTCTAAACAGCACCACATATATGAAAAAGAGAGTCTGGTAAACTTATAGCAGCGCGGAGAGTGTGAGAGACGCCCCACCTTCCACCAATCTCAGACTCCAACATCATTTCATCAGTTTAAGTCTGAGTGGATAGCCAATCTGTCTGCATTGACGAGTAACCATTTCTGAGGGACGTGTTCCCAATGATGACCAAATACATGATTTCCTAAAGTTATGAGAAAGCAGTGCATAATGGGTGTAACGGACGGAAACTTCTCTTCTGCTTCATCCTCAGGTTGTGCCGGTGCCCATGGAGAAGTGCAGTACAGAAGACATCAAGGAGGCGTTCATGACACAAGCTGAAGAGCAGCAGATGGAACTGATGGAGATTCCAGCTCATACAGACCTCAAACAGGTACACACCATCGGTCTCCCTCAGACTGAACACTTCACAGTTTGTCAGAGTTTTTATTTATTATTTAAACTCAATATATTTTTAATATAATAATTTATTACTTTATTATATTATATAAATATTTATTTTTAAATGATATATACTATTAAAATAGCAACTTATTGCTTTCTCATCATCATTATTATTATTACATTGTATAAATTACTTATTTAAAATTATATAATATACTGCTAATTCAATCATGTAAATTGTATACTGATATTATAATTTATAATATACTAATATATATTTATTTATATATATATATATATATATACAATACATACATACATGCATACATACACTGTTAATATAATAATTTCTTATTATTATTACAAAAGTTTATTTAAATTATATTTACATTATATTTGTTATGTCATTTTATTTATTTTTAAGTTATATATATATATATTGTTAATAGAATCTATTATTAATATTATTATATAAAAAAAATAATCTATTTACTTAATGGCATATGCAACTCTATTCAGTTTAGTTTGTTCTTGTTGTAGTCTAACCTGCAAAAACAAATCCATGTGTAGTCTAAAATCAAATTTAACAAATAAATAAAATTAATTTTTATTTTTTTTAAATAACTGTGACTAACAATAATATTCCACATTGCAGATTGCTCCTCCAGGAACACCCTACTTTTATGTGGAGCTGGATACAGGCGAGAAGCTGTTTTATCGCATCAAGAAAAATTTCCCTTTGCAGTTTGGCAGGTAATTGTTACACTGGCACAATTCATCAACTGGGGGCAGTCATACACTAGTTATAAACATTAGTATGTGTTTGACCTGATTGTAAAAACACGCTTCAGCATAACCACCTGTGTATATCCTGTGTGTGCTGCCACAGGGAAGTATTAGCGAGCGAGGTGGTGTTGAACATCCCCATGCGAGCTGACTGGAGAGAGTGTAAATGTACAAAGGAAGAGGAGGAGGATCAGGCCAAAAAAGTGCGCTCTGACTTTGAGCCCTTTGACTTCGCAATTGATGACTGAGCAACACTTCAGATACATCTGACTTTAACACCTTCAATCATGTTTGTGAACTCCCTAAATGTGTCCAAAACTGCTTATTTTATCTTTTTATTCTTTTTAAATTTTGAAGCTTTCCTCTTCCTTTCATTTGGCAACAGTTAGAAATGACTGTTGTCACAGTGGTCTTTTAAAAGATATCTTTGTTTTGGTGATGTATCAGTCTGTTGGATGCCAATAAGTGTGGAATTTTGTTTTGTGACTCCAAATTAAAGTCATTTTTCAAATTTGTAAAATCTGCATTTTTTTCTCTCTCTTGTAATAATAGTCTGGTGTTCGTCCTCTGCTGGTGTTGATGTCCTTTTCTTGGTCTACTATGTAGCAAGAATCAAACTCCTGACATTTTAGTTGTTTGTACTTGGTACACAAACAGTTCTGCTGTCTGAAATATAACCCGTCATCTCATAGGCGACGTGTGTGTGTGTGTGTGTGTGTGTGTGTGTGTGTGTGACAATGTTTCAATCTTAGTAATTAATTAGACATAAAGTAATCAATTATATATAACCTATCCTCTCACTTATGATTATTCGCAATAATTATTTATAAATATAACTCAACATTTAGTCGAATGTTACATTTCTTAAAATCGACTTTCGTTTTTTGGGAGCGGACTTTTATTATGGTAACGTGGAAGTTTTAAGGACTTTTGAGTTGCAAGCAAACGTAAACAGTTCAAATATAAATATGTGAAAGAAGATTTGTGTAACAATGAATTACTCTTTAGTTTTATTTGTAACACAAAACAGTATTTATTAAGGTTAGAAGGGTTTGGGAACTTTTATTATGTTCAGAACGCGGAAGTACTGCAGTGAAGTCACGTGAGGAGGTATTTTCACAACGATGCATTTGATGCGCAATGCCAACTCGTTTAAGACATTTAACGCGTAAAAATCTTTGTCTGTGATAATTAAAACGCAACAGAGTTGCTGAAATGGACGAGGACGGATTACCCATTGTGGGATCAGGAATAGATCTTACAAAGGTGAGTTTGTTTTACTTTGCAACATCAGCTGCTGCTCACATGATCGTCTGACACCTATGAATTCGTTTTCACATAACTCATATGTGCACAAAGCATCTGGTCTGAAACTGATCATTACATTTTGTTTCTTAAGGTTCCAGCCATTCAACAGAGAAGAATCGTAGCTTTCCTCAATCAGTTCATAGTCCACACCGTCAGGTTCCTGAACCGCTTTTCCACAGTTTGTGAGGAGGTATGTTCACCTGTCAGCACATCATCTTTACAGTAACACTCAACTTAAACATTCTGGGAAGTGTCAGTGACCTGATGGAATTTGCTTTTACAGAAGCTAGCAACAGTATCACTACGAATCCAGCAGATTGAGACCACACTAAGCATTTTGGAAGCAAAGGTAAGTCAAGGCAATTAAGGGGGTTTTCATGGGCGGTGAAAATGTTTTTTAAAAAAGTGTTTAATTAATAACTTTATTAAAACAATAATTAAAAATAAGAATAAGATTGAAATGAATAAAAATAAATACACCACGAACATTACATTTAAACAAATAAATAAACATTTGATTTTAAATAATTAATACAAATTAAATGTAAGATTACAAATAAATAGTCAAACATTTGATAAAAATACATAAACAGTGGATTAAAACAACTGAGAAAATAAATAAAATATTTTCCAAATACTATTTTCGATCCATTCATAATATTATTTTTTTACAGTAGAAATTGGGTCTTTGTACATGAAACTATATGGATGCCTTTTAAGTTCCAGGATAGGGGTCTCTCGCATTGAAAAACATTGATCAATGATCATATTTGGGGGTCCGTGGTATCTAAATACTCAAAACCTCTGACTCAAGGAACAGGACTTTATTGAATACCTTCTTTTTTTAAGCTTATCTAAGTTGATTTCATGAAACAATGATTTATACATTTTCAGTTAGCCTCTATTCCTGGTTTGGAAGAAGTGACAGTGGATGGAGTGAGACCGTCTCCAGTGACAAACGGCCCTGCAGTGCAAGCCAGTCGTGCAACGGGTCCCCCTGTTGAGGTAACAGTTATTCTGATATATTATTAATGTCTTCATCCATTTATCCCACTGCATTCTGAGGTTGTTATAACATAATGGCACTCATAGGAAGTCCTTCAGTCAGTATTAATACAAAATCCCTTTCCATTCAGGCATCTCAGCAAACACAAGTGGCCCCTCAGGAGCCGAAAGCAGAGGTCCCAGCGGAAAACATCATGACTGTAGCCAAGGACCCGCGATATGCCAGATACCTGAAAATGGTGCAAGTGGTATGCGTGTTTCTCTTAAGTTTCATCATTAACAAACCTACTCCCTAATTATGGCTGACGACGTCATGTCAAATGTGTATGCAAATGCCCAAATTTTGCTCTGTATGTTCACAGGGTGTTCCAGCTATGGCCATTAAAAATAAGATGGTATTGGAGGGTTTGGACCCTAGTTTGCTTGAGTAAGTGTTGATGACAGTAAACAAGATGATGCATGTGTATAAGTTGATTCTGTCACTATTTGTATGATTATGAGCTGTTTATGTTCTAGCTAATAGATTTCTTTATTGTATCCTTCAGTACTCCTGATGCACCTGTTCCAGATGGTGGCAAAAAAGGCTTGGAAGAGCAAGATGATGACAGCTCCGGCAGCGAATCATCCTTCAGCGATTGATTGGCTCCGCCCCCTCCCACAGCTAACTTGGCCTGGACTCGTTAGACCTTGTTGGACTTGGCCTACTGTATGTAGGCTGTCATGAATCTTGCTCATCTCAAAGCAGGGACAATGCACTTGAATGTCCCTACAAAGGATAGACATTAAGCGATGGCACTAAAAGGTTGTGCTACATCATGGAGACGGCATACTTGAAATCTGTACTGGTGGTTTCTGAGGGCAGTTGCTCACTAGGTGAGATCGCTGATGATTATGGTTATATTTGATCCATTGAGTGCTACTCTCATCTGAATTGTGAAGTGTGTCATTTCTTGCCATGTACATATGTGTATCCAATAACAATAAAAAGATGCCACTTGGTGTTTTTATGAAATGGCCACAAGCAGCCTTGTTAATCTGTTCTGAAATAGATTTTTAAAATTGTAGCTGAGGGAAATTTCTTTTCTTTTTTTCATCTCCACTTGGAACAATCTTGAATTGACTTTGAAACGCGGTTATATCAACAACAAAATCCACATAAAGCCCTATTTAATTTAGTTAGATTTGTTATGTTTCTAAAGATACTAATTATGTTACATAGCCATTAAAGATTTGCTTACATTGTCTTTTCCAAAGTAACTTATTAAAAGTTATATTCAAATTTGTTGCAAAGAAGTTTTATTTTTAAAACATACCATTATTCAAAAGTTCGGGCTTGAATTTAAAATGTTTTTAAATTAAGTCTGTTATGCATTTACTTGATTAGAAATACAGTAAAAATGAATATTGTGAAATATTTTTACAGTTTAAATAGTAGTTTTTTTGTTTCAATGCATTCTGAATAATTTATTTCTGTGATGGTAAAGCTGAATTTTCAGCATCATTGCTGATTGTCTGAGTGTCACATGATCCTTCAGAAATCATTCTAATATGTTGATTTGCTGCTCTAGAAACATTTCATCAATGCTCAAAACAGTTGTGCTGCTTTATTTCTTTGTGGAAACCATGATTCGGTTTTATTTTTTTCAGGATTCTTTGAATAGAAAGTTCAAAAGAACATGATTTTTTTTCTTATGTAACATTATTAATGTCTTTACTGTCACTTTTGATCAGCAGCGCCCTTGCTTAATTATAGTATTCATTTCTTTTAAAAGTCTAAACAAATCTTACAGACCCCAAACTTTTAAACAGTAGTGTATGCTGCTATTCCTAGAAACATTAAAGCAATCACTTCTCTTAAGCCATGCACATCATCATCATTGTCATGTGTTTTTATTCCAGAATTACAAAATCAGACACATTGTGCAATCAACGGACTTACATTCACATTGCACTGCATAAAGAACAAGAGTATAAAAAACACCTGTGGCTCACTCTCAGCTGCACTGAATTTTCGGAATGATCATGAAGAAAAACAACCGAAGCAAAGATTGATTAAATGCAAATATGAATGTGCTATTTTGTCTTGGTTGATTATTATAAAAGGAGAATCACTATGATAAAACTTTCTTAATTGTTAGAGTGTATTACATTTCAAGTACGTTTCATGCCTTTTTTTCCAAGACCAAAGTGCAAGCTACAAAAATATACACTGCAAATGATTATACAGTACTGCAACAGATCTTTCAACGTGAAAAAAGCTAATAAGTTGTATAAAAAAATACAATTATATTATTAAAAATGCACCAAAAACAGTGAAACATAACTCATCCAATAACAGTATGATGTCACGCTCATTAATACTCTATTAAATGAACAGTCAGTTTCAGAGTGAATTGCTGTAAAAAGAAATAAAAGAAATGTTAAGTTTATCTAAGAGGAACTAAAAACGAATTTCACAAAATGTAAGTGATTAGAAATAATGTGAAAATCAATATACCACATACACTACTGTTCAAAAGTTTAGGGTCGTAAGTTTTTTTTTAAATGTTTTTAAAAGTCACTTATGCTCACCGAGGCTGCATTTATTTGATCAAAATGCAGTAAACATATTGTGAAATATTATTGCAAATTAAAATATCTTTATTATATTTAAATATATTTAAAATCGGTAATGTATTCCTGTGATGGCAAAGCTGAATTTTCTTGCATGATTCTTCAGAAGTCAATAAACATGAATTATTAACAATTCCTGTTTTTTTTTTTGTTTTTTTTTGATGAACAAAGTTCAAAAGAGCAGCATTTACGGTATTTGAAATAGAACATTATAATTGTCTTTACTGTTCCTTTTGATCAATTAAATGCATCCTATCTGAATAAACACATTAATTTATTTTTATTTATTTTTTTGACCCCCAAACCTTTTGAACTGTAGTGTAAGTCTCATAATGTTTCATGTACTCACCTGGAACTCTTGGATGTATGTTAAGAAGAAGAAGACGAAACTGAAGGCAGTGATCCACTCACACACAGCGCTCACTATATGAAGTGTGTAGTCCTTCAGAAGCAGGGAAACAAGTCAAGCAACTCTAAACATTCAATATTACATTTGACTATAATCTGAGGTCTGAAATGTCTGGTTTGTGAACTGAATTGTACCTTATCATTGATGTCCCAGTGAAGTTTGCTTGTTCCAACAGAAACGGCACAGAAAATAGCTGGAAGGAGGCGTTAAAGACAAACAGTTTGATCTGAAATGTAAACAGTGCATGTCTTCACACGGAAAACCAGCATGCTGGGATCACAACACTGGATTTGGATGAATAGCGATGAAAGGAGATGCATGTTCATGCATATTTACATTGGCAAAACTATGTTCAGTTTGTAAACCAGCAGCACATGTTAGACTGAGAAAGGATACTGGGAAAAATAGCTAGAAAGGCCACTGCAGCGAAGAATGCACGGAAATGACACATCCACTTAGAAGGTCCGTAAGGACGAGCACGGTACGAGATCACGCTCTGAATGATGGTGTATATAGCTCCAAAGATGAAGAACAGTAAAGCACCCAAATCATGGACTGCCATCACTGTCGTCTCCTAGAACACAACAGCATACATGAGAGTCATCGCTTACTCACCCTCATGTCATTCCATACACAACATTTTTTGAAGAACTGCTTTCGTTCATACAGTGAAAGTCAATGGGGTCCAAAACAATATTGGAACCCACTGACTTTCTTTATATAGACACACACAAAAAAAACACTTTTCAAAATATAATTGTTGTGTTACACCAAAGAACGAAAGTGAGTAAATTCTGAAAGAGTTTTCGATTGTGGCTAAACTAGACATACCTGAAATGTAGCAACCAAACACATGCCGACGCAAGAGATGATGCCAACAGCAAAAGAAGCCTTGTTCAGACCTGGTGACACGGCACCGGTTGTCTCGTGGACTCTTTCCACAAATTTATATTCAGCATACATAGTAGCAAAGGCTGGAAAACAAATTCCCTGCACTGAGTTTCATCCGTTTAAAGAATGGAAATTGCTGTGCAATACAGTCAACAATATTCACTCATGCAAATAAAACTGAATAAACTCTCTGGAGACTTTATGCAGGAAAGTGCAATGAAAACAGTATTTGTATCGGTTAAAAATTCATTTGAGTTGCCATGGTGGCTGTTGCTCTGATAACCTGTAACCTGATTTGGCATTAGGTTTCATTTCTGCAGTTGTTGTTTGAGGGTTTGACTGCAGTTTTGTAAAACACTGAACTCCAGCTGTGTGTCACGGGTGGGAAAAAAATTGTGTTTTCGTTTTCAGCAGAAAGAGAAGTGAGACCAGAATGAGTGAGGTTCCATTGTTACTAAAGAAGCGTATATTTGAGACATTCCCACTGCTTTCCTCTCACATGTCAAAATCAAGCAGTTTGCGGTTGACTAAAAGTTGCACAATTTCCAAAAGGTTGTGACAAACAGATAGCAAGGAGTTTCCTGAAGCTGCTGCTGGGAGATTAACTGGTCTTCTGAAATATGAGCTGGAAATCAAATCAAATCAAACTGAAATCAGAAAGTGGCTGATTATTAGTCATACCTGCAAACGAAGTGATTGTCGACATGAATCCAAACACACAGCTCTCAGGGGGAGTTGCCCCTGTATCACTGAAAAAAGTAAACGACTGATTTTCAGAAACGTTTACACAAATTATAACATTGGGTTACACTTTATTTTAAGGTGTCATTGTTGCTGTGTAATTATATATTTAAGTACTGAGAAATATTACTCAACAACATGTACTCACTATAGGGTTAGGGTAGGATTAGGATTTGGTTGAGGGTTAGTTTAATGTAATTATGCATAATTTACTGTTATTACTACATGTAACAAGGATACTGTAAAATAAAGTGTTACGGAACATTCACATATGAAGGAATTCAGAAACTTTTAGTCATAACTGTGCAGTCCACAGTTTACTGTATGACATTTAATAAAAGTGCAATCATGGCCTCACCATTACAATACATTAATATGTGACTTTGAAAATATTTATTATTACTTATCTATTTTTAAAATATTTTTAAAATAAGTATTTTAAATGTAAATATAAGTTTGTTATTATTTTTAAACAATAAACTTTAAAAAATGTAGGGTGTTTTTTACAGGATATATTATATAGTTATATTAAATATGTGTGTTTGTGTGTGTGTGTGTGTGTGTGTTACTGTTATTATATTATATTATATTATATTATATTATATTATATTATATTATATTATATTATATTATATTATATTAATCTTCTTTCAGGATATCTAGTTTGTGCAGCTTCCTGCACTGAACACTAACCTAGTTTTGAACACGAGCCACGTTCATCCTCTCAGTAGAAAACGAAACTAAACGAGCTAACAGCAAAAAACTTTTTTTCCCCGAAATTCTTACAACTAGGACCTTTATATGTCTAGGCTATATATAAATACCCGCTTAAAACATGGACTTGTTACTAACATTACAAGCTATTTCTGGTCTATTATGTTAAGAGTTGTAAATTCATCAAATCCAGATGTGTATCTAAACTAAAATCAAGCACAATGTAAAAAGGCATTTCACATACCTTATATAAGGAAGGACAACGTCCACATCTCGTCGAAACAATGCGATGATATAAGATATTATGAATGTGCTCGATGACCAGATTACCAGAAAAGTAGGTAAAAAGCACATTCCTTCCAAAAACCAAACCATCTCGCCTGAGGGCTGAGTGTGAACGGTGCATCACCATTCACGGAGACAAAAGTAAAGAAAACATCACATCAGATATTAAGACACGGACACTTGACTGAACACATACTGGATGCAAAGTAACTCGAGGTTTATAACTGTATCTATCGTGTCACGTGTTCGATGGGAATCTCTGATTCTCTTCCTCATTGTTTTACCCATATACATTGTCAACAACCGCAAATGTGAACAATACACAGAGGTTCTTTCTTTCTTTCTTTCTTTCTTTCTTTCTTTCTTTCTTTCTTTCTTTCTTTCTTTCTTTCTTTCTTTCTTTCTTTCTTTCTTTCTTTCTTTCTTTCTTTCTTTCTTTCTTTCTTTCTTTCTTTTAGATAAACCTGTAACACTTTACAAGGTTCCAATTGTTAACATTAGGCTAATGTATTACTAGTAAATGATTTAAATCAAAATTTGCATCTGTTAATAGGCTATTATTCAATGTAGCCTACCTCAGATAACATGAACTAATGAACAGTTGTGTATTAATGAACTAACATTAACAAAGATGAATAGCCTACAT